TCCTTAAATCTAGTTGGCTATTATATAACATAAAGGGTTAGGTTATCTGTAGTTTATAACAGGGAATTAAATATACCAGTTGGTGGTTTGTTTCTAATATAAAAATGTCCTTTGTTGTTTCAGCCAGATCATTGTAGAAAATGTGGGTTTCTCCTTTAAAAAAAATCTACTTATTTCTTTAAAAAAAGGAAAATGCTGCACATTTCACCTTAGATTTTTGTTTTTAATTGCAACGTTTCTACAGTTGCTGGGAAGATGGAATTTCACTGTAGCAGAATTAGTAGATATCACCAGAACACAGGATTAGCCTGTTAGTTAAATACTTAATTATCAAAAGCTCTGCTACCTTTTCAAATGCAATTCCAATTTGTTTCATGAGTTATCTCTCTCACCAGGCGCATTGATGATGACAAGGGAAGGACACATGAACTGGAGCACTCTGCTATAAAATGTATGAGAGGGATTCTCTACTGCTATATGCGTCAGGCTGATAAGGTAAAACTTGGATTGAGTTCTTATACCATTTTAAAGGATTAACCAGTATTCACCAGTATTAACCAGTATTGCAGTAGCAGCTTTGGAAGAATGTACTTTAAAAAGGTAAAGCCACATCCTAGGACAGTCCATGTAGTTTAAGTCACTTCTCCCTTCCAGGGCTTTGAAGTCCTGAAATGGAAGTAGCACCTTCAGTGAGAGGTGATTGAAAATTGTTTTTACGCTTCAATTTGTGTTCCAGATTTCTTGTTTCCTTGATAAATACCTGTTTTCTCTGGAGCCTGACAAATATTCATAATTCTAAACAATATATCATTTAAAGAAAATCCTTGTCAGTATTACTTTTGGATGGGTGAATTGCTCTAGCAGAAGAGAATTTTTTTTTGCCTTTTTAAAAAAAATTATTTATGTAATAACCATATAATTAGAAGAAGCATTTCATTACAACAGTTTCTTGTTTCCGTGATAAATACCTGTTTTCTCTGGAGCCTGACAAATATTCATAATTCTAAACAATATATCATTTAAAGAAAATCCTTGTCAGTATTACTTTTGGATGGGTGAATTGCTCTAGCAGAAGAGAATTTTTTTTTGCCTTTTTAAAAAAAATTATTTATGTAATAACCACATGATTAGAAGAAGCATCTAATGAGGCTGGAGAGATAGCTCAGCAGTTAAGAGCACTGACTGCTCTTGGAGAGGACCCAGGTTCGATTCCCAGCACCCACATGGCGACTACAAACCATCCTTAACTCCAGTTCCAGGGGAATCTGAAGCCCTCT